GCACAGGGGCAGACACTGGAGCCCCAACTCCAGGGTGGAGGAGGAGGAATCCAGGAAGGCTTCCTGCAGGAAGCGACATCGAACCCAGAACATGCTGTCTGGTCTAGAACCTGAGTCAGCACCAGGTAGGTGCTCCAGGATGGGTGGGGGGTGTGGTAGAGAGCATCCCAGGCTGGAAGAACACACCAAGAAAGTTCTGGAAGGGAGGCCCAGGCGTGCCTAATGATGGTGCAGATCTTAAGTGGGGGTGGGGGCGGGAAGGCAGAGTCATCTCACGAATCATGGCTCCTGGCGCTGTCCTGGGCCTCGTGCACACCCTGCTCCGATGTCAGCACCACCTGCCCCAGTCCAGGTGGGTTGGTTTGGACCTCACGCTGCCCCCTTCCCTCTTGCAGCTGGTGGTCTTTGAGCAGGAGAACTTCCAGGGCCGTCGGGTGGAGTTCTCGGGGGAGTGCCTGAACCTGGGGGACCGTGGCTTTGAAAGAGTTCGCAGCCTCATCGTCGCCTCGGGACCGTGAGTGTCGGGCAGGGCGGGGTGCTCCCTCTGCCGTCTGTGGTCACAGATCGATGACATGATAAGAGCGCATTTGCCAGGCATCCGCTGTGGGCCTGGCCCATGCTACTGCCCCCTCTGACTTCCCAGCCTTCCCTGCAAACCTCAGGAGGAGACAAGCTTTTCCTTCCCATTTGACAGACGAGAAAACTGAGGCCCAGAGAGAGGTGCTCTGATTAGTGTAAGGTCACAGTGAGGGTGAGTCACGTCTGGGTTCCATCAGTCTGTTTCTACTGCAGAAGCAACCGAGCCTACTCTGAGGGCAGGAGGAGGCCAAGAATCAAGGCCCCGGCAGGGGCATCAGGCTGCCCTGCAAATGATAATAAGGACCAGCAGAGGATCCACTAGGTGTCAGGCACTGTGGGAGGGCTTTACCTGGCTGGCCGCCCCTTGAAGTAGGACAGAAGAGCTATTCTTCTTTTAGGTGGAAGGGGTACCAGGGATTGAACCCAGGGGCCCTTGACCATCCCTGTCCCCAGCCCTGTTCTGTGTTTTATTTAGAGACAGGGTCACACTGAGCTGCTTAGGGCCTCATTGTGGCTGAGGCTGGCTTTGAACTCAATCCTCCTGCCTCAGCCTCCCAAGCTGCTGGGATGGCAGGCGTGGGCCACTGTGCCCGGCCAGAAGAGCTATTCTTATCCTCACTTAAACTGGGGCTCCCCAGGGCTCAGGGCCCTGGCCAAGGCCACCTAGAGGTAAGTGGCCAGGTTGGCGTTTGCCTCAGGTTGGTCCGTCCTTCGCCATGTCCCCTGCCTGTTCTCACTCTGGGCTTCTCTGGGCCTTGGTGACCCCCGTGGACAGCAGAAATGCCCGTCTCTCCGACGGACTGGCTCTCCCAGCGCCAGCCGCTGTCAGCTGAGGCCAGGGTGCTGGGCCACTCCCAGGACAAGACCCATGGGCCCCTCGGCTCTGGTTCCCCACTCCACCCCCCAGGGGCTTGGTGAGCCTGCATCCAGAGCTTCTGGGAGATGGGTTTTGAGGTCAGACTCGTCCCACTCTGTCCTTGGCCTTAGGTGGCCTCTGCGCCCCAGCGCCTCGTTGCCGAGTCGGGGGGAGTCATGAGCCCACCTCGTCCTGCCTGGGTCATTCTCGGGCCTGGAGGAGGTGATGCGGAACGGGCCAGCGCCGTGAGGGCATTCAGACATGGCGGCAGGCCCCCTCCCCTGGCCCTGTGAGCTCCCCCAAGCCAAGGTAGGTGGCTGCAGGGAGGCGGGGGGGGGCAAGAGTGCCTCCTGTGCCCACCCCACCCCCACTGTGGTCAACAGCCTCAGCCCCACCCGGCCCCCAAGCCCAGCTGGGAACAGAAACTGCCGGATGTGGCCAGCTTGGGGTTTCAGGCTGCTTTGGGGGCTGTGACTCAAGCGCAGAGTATTTCACCTCAGAGACGGAGCTGGTGTCTGCTCTGTGCCCAGGGCTGTGCCCAAAGGGGACAGAAATGGCCCTGTGGTGCACAGGGTTGGATTGGGGCCAGCATGCCTGTGGGAGAAGAGGAAGGAAGGAGATGGAGTGGCCGGGGGAGGGAAGGCGTGCCTGCCTGGGATCTGACCCCGCCGTGTGACCTTACGCTAGAGATGTGGCCCCTGAGCCTCATTTCCCTGTCAGTGAGCTGAGATTCCCAGCCCTTCCTCTGCTGGCTCAAAGAAGCCATAGTGGATGAGAAGAGGCATTGACGTCGCTATTTAACATTTCCCATTCTTGCCGGGCACAATGGTGCAGGCCTGTAATCCCAGCGACTTGGGAGGCTGAGGCAGGAGGATTGAAAGTTGGAGGCCAGCCTTAGAAACTTAGCAAGGCCCTAAGTAAAACTTAGCAAGACCCTGTCTCAAAATAAAAAGTAAAAAGGGCTGGGGATGTGGCTCAGTGGTTGAGTGCCCTTGGGTTCAATCCCTGGCACCAAAACAAAAACATAAACAAAAACTTCTCATTCTTCTAACAAGGCCTCCCTGGGGGACGTGGGGGAGGGTGAGCAGCGTGGCAGCACCACACGGTGTTGATCTCTCCTTAAGCTCAGACCTGCAGCCGCTTCCCTTCCCCCTTAATCATAAATGATGCTATTTATTATGACTACTCCATGTTGGATCTTTCACACACGCCTTTCAGGACTTCACATCCTGACAAGGTAGTGACAAGATTTTCTTTCTTTTACTGCCCAAATGACAAGCAAGTCGGTGGTCAGCTGAGTCCGGTGAAATTGGCCAGGCTAGCCTGAAACGGGTGATCCTCCTGCTTCAAAAGGGCTGGGGACGTAGCCCAGTGGTAGAACGCCCCAGGTTCAGTCCCCGGAACTGATAAAGAAAGGGGGTGAAAAACTTGAGCTAGCATTACAACCCAGGTCTGTTTCCAGATTCTCTGTTCTTTTAAAATATTTTTTTTTAGTTGTAGGTAGACACCTTTATTTCATTTATTTATTTTTATGGGGTGCTGAGAATCGAACCCAGGGCCTCACACGTGCCAGGTGAGTGCTCTACCGCTGAGCCACGACCCCAGCCCCTGATCTTATATTCCTAACATTGATGAGGCACCTTCTCCTAAGCTTCCCTCCCTTTCTGCCCATGCATCCAGCCAGACACATAGTCTCCATCCATTTCCCTTCCCACTCTTCTTTGCATATACCTATAGATCAATCCGTGCACTATCAGCCCATTATCTAGCCATTCTCCGTCATCCGTTTGTCTGTGCATGCATCCATCCATCCACGCGTTCATCCATCCAATCTGTCTACCCATACACCCATCCATCATCTATCTATCCATTCATTCATCCATCCATCAACCCATTCACCCACCCATGCATCCATTCACCCATCCATCTATCCATCCACCCATCCATCCATCTGTCCATCTGTCCATCCATC